CATGACATATATTCAGTCAACTGCCAACTGTTTCGCCATGTCTCTCTGATCTAACAGATGCACTTTTCGGAACGTTAATGAGGATGAGTCCTCTTCCTTATCTCCGCACTCTTGCACTCCGTAATCTCCCCTGTTGCCTGCCAGACTATATTTAGAATGAATCGGTGCAGAAGCCATCCTCTCGTCCCCCTTTACTCAATCGGTCTGGGCCTGCGAAAACCTTTACTGTGGCACTCACCTACCCTCTGCTCAACTTCCAGTGTCAATCCACGAACTTGCGCTCTGAGATGTATGGAGGCTAAATCAGATTAGATTGGGATAAGTCCCGGCTGTTATCGAAATGCACCGACTAATTATCATGATGTCAGCAACAGCAACGCGATTGCATCCACACCTGCTGCAGTGTCTTTTGCATCATTTGAGGCGAGTCTTTCAATTCGCCTCAATTTCTGTAAGCTTGGCGAAGGAGCGTACTGGGGAACGCCTTCGAACCTATTCTCCCCATTTGCCCGCGGGCGCTCTGCCCCAGAACTTGTGTTAAAACAAATTTTCAGCTCGTTGTACAGTGCTCTCTGCCACAGAGAGGCACCTCTGTGGATTCATCAATATCTGGTTTGCAACCAATCCCGGACGTGTAACCCAACGCAGTGGACGTCTGATGAAACGAACTACAACTATCTACTGAAGCAATTTAGACAGGGTTAAAATTTAGCTAGGTATGTACATTGCCACTACGTCTAATGACGAGCAGGGGAGCCCATTTCCGAAAATTACCCTGTAAACCGTCTTCCGCTCCCAAGTAACTCGGTTTATTTCTGACTACATTTCCTTAGGTGGCTTTTTGCAATGTATGTTGAAGAACCTTGGGAGCAGTAATTTATCGTACACTCGGTGATGGGAAACTTTTGTAGCTTGTTACAGTCTGACGCAAGCGCTGTTGTTTTTTCCTAAACCGTTGTTAAAGAAACACTGAATTCTACTCGGAAACTTACTTAATAAACCTTCTTCCTCTTCCAACTAACTTGCATTTTTTCTAATAAAATTTCCTGGAATGGCTTTTTCCAGTGCATGCCGAAGAACTCTGTGTGCAGTGTTTTGTCCCACACTCGACGATGGGAAACGTTTGCAGCTTGTTAAGGTCTGACGCGTAAGCAGTTGTTTTTTCTTACACCGATGCTGAAGCAATGTTTTTCAGTTTTGAACGACTTAAAAAGGGATGCATTCGTGGAGAATAGTCGAACTGAAAAGTTATTTCCAACAAAACGGACAAATCTAGCTGGCTGTCGAATGGCCCCTATCGCGATAAATGCATCCAAACTCGTCACATGGTAGTCAAAAGGGTTTCACGTGCAGACAGCGTAGAGACCTTTTGCAACGTTCTCTCGCCAAAATGTGCTGTCCGGAATTAGAGGCGTCCCAGTGGTTTCATCAATATCTGACTGTTTAGGGGGATCTGTAATGCAGGAATTCGAAATTACGCCTTCACGCAAATTGAACTCGAATTTTTGGTCTCACTGAGTAGATGATGCATTTGTGAACTTCGTTTTTCCCGGATTACAATTCGCTTTCAAAAACAGAGCTTTATGGGATAAATCTTATTCGCTGATGTCCTACTATGTAGAAGGACTTCAGTGTACCGCAAAGATTTATTTACAAATTACCTGAATTAGCAGATTAAGTGTCCTCATACCCGTAACTTACTAAATCGTGCCAAACCCCAATACGTCGACGAATACATTTATCGGAAAATTGTTATGGAGAGTGAAAGCGGCGTAGAGCCACGGCCTAGGGCGCCAAACAAAGGACCAAGTG